GCTTCGTGCAGAAGAGAGCCAGCCCGCACATGGTTCAAGCGAACTCAGCATCTCGTGGTATAGGCTGATATGTCCAGGTCTCTGGTTTTTGGTGCAACACCTCGGTTCCAAATATTCCGGGTCACGGTATTTGGCCACACACCGTAGGTCCGTCCTGAAAGTTGTTTTGCTCGAGTCGGTTTGAGATTGCTGGTACCCAGCTCAGGCAAAAAGGATGAGATGCTCGCTTGCACCGCCCCTTCCTTGTGGCTCACTGCCTGGAAGCAGCATGACCTTCGATCGAAATTAACAATAAGTTGTTCATGGCTGACAGCCCTTCCGACACTTTCCATCGGATCGAACATCCTGGTACTCTTATTGCCGAAGGTGATTTAGAGACTTGCCAAGGGTTTCTTTGGGGATCCAATGAAGCAAGCCCAAACATCACCGACTGTTCAAAGCGGGCGCTTCTGCAGGCAGAAGTAGTTTTGTTTTAACCGTTTGTTAAACACTCCGTTACTACTGAAGGCACTTTGGAGCCAATCCTCCCGAAATCACCCCTGCCCTTCCAAGCCGAACTTGCATCAGCTAAAGGGAATCCGGAGCAAGAGTAGGAGCAACATCAAGAGCAGGAGTAACAGCTGTAAATTCAGGCGGGCGGAAGGAAAGGCAAATCCAGTCCAGGATTATGGTTGGTTTTGAAAGTGTCCCAGCAAAGATCTGACTTGTAGTGTAGCATGTGTGGTTTGCGCCGGCCTGCATTGAGGCATTCACCGCAAGTGAACTGCCATGCTGGCAAGTTGTTAGCCTCCGTTCGGAGTGCAAGAGACCGGTCGCTTAATTTGCAGTTGAGAACTGAACAAGATTTTTTACTACCTACTCGCGGCCATCAGGCGTCCAGCAGTGCAGTTAAGCAAACAGCCGAACTGGCTGCTGGTGTCGCTTGTTATGGAAAACCTGCCAAGGAGAGCCGCCCTCAACAGACGTCGCGGACGCAGAACTTCAAGGAACAACCTGGGAGAAAGGGGGCAGGTACAGTTGGCGGGTTGCAGGTTTTCATTGGTGGACGAGAGGCCTCGCTGATGGACATGGGAAGGCTCTCCTCTTTGCTAGCCCTGTGATGACCTGTTCTAGCATAGAAGGTTGAAACCGGCGCAACACAACCGCGATTAATGTTGCAGTGGTTCTAATCACCCCCCCCTGAGGTTGTTTTGCGCGGGGGTCTCTTGGGGCAGGGTTTTGGGTCAGAGTGGCAATAGTCTGTCCTTGTCCGGGGCTAGTAGTAATAGTAGTAATAGTAGTAGTAGTAGTAGTAGCAGTAGTAGTAGTAGCAGTAGTAGTAGTAGTAGTACGAGTAAGTGAAGTCTCGACCTCTGGCATTCGTAGCACTCTGGCTTTTGTGCCCTCTGCCTTTTTGTTTTCCTTCTGAACTCCTTCTGGCCACTGGACTGAAGCAAGGAGTCTGGCCTAGCTGTTGAGGGTGGGGTTCTGTACAAGTAAGTATCCACGTACTATCTGAGGCCATGGCTGCCGCTGATGTGGACATGACTCTGGTGAACGGCGCTGGGGAGGCTTCTCGAATTGAGAGCCTGTCTGTTTCGGGAAGTATTTGAAGAGGAGTCTGATGAGAACACGGCTGGAGCCCCTGCGGAGTCTGGCGAGACTTGGCTATTATCTGCAAGAAAGGGTTTGGGGTTCTGGGTGTGACTGCTGCTCTTATCTGAGGCACCCTCTGGACCGGCCAACCCTGGCGAGACTTGGCTGTTATCTGCAAGAAAGGGTCTGGGGTTTGGGGTTCTGGGTGTGACTTCTGCTCTTATCTGAGGCACCATCTGGACCCCCTGCGAAAGCTGGCGAGACTTGGCTATTATTTGCAAGGAAGGGTCTGGGTTTTGGGGTTCTGGGTGTGACTTCTGCTCGTATCTGAGGCACCATCTGGACCGGCCAACCCTGGCGAGACTTGGCTGTTATCTGCAACAAAGGGTCTGGGGTTTGGGGTTCTGGTTGTGGCTTCTGCTCTTATCTGAGGCACCATCTGGAATCCTGCCCAACTCTGGCGACACTTAGCGGCTATTATCTGCGAGAAAGGGTCTGGGGTTTGGGGTGTCCGGGTGTGACCTCTGCTCTTATCTGAGGCACCATCTGGACCGCCCAACCCTGGCGACACTTAGCGGCTATTATCTGCGAGAAAGAGGGTCTGGGTTTTGGGGTTATGGTTGTGACCTCTACTCGTATCTGAGGCAGCATCTGGTGTGATTTCTGCTGACACTTGTCTTGCATTTCTGCAGAGAGAGACTGAGAGAGAGAGAGAGAGAGAGAGTCTGGGTTTTGGAGTTTTGGGTCGATCTGCGATCCCAGGCCACTCTGCAGGATGCGTTTCTGACGGCCATGAAGACCTTCCAGGTCCAGGAAGCTTCTGGTCGTCTCCTCTCTGACAGAGTGCAGCTCATCGTCTGGATCGGGAGTTCTGGAAGTTTTCGGTTGTTCTGCCTGGCAAACCAAGTACTCTGGCAAACGAGTG